AACACATTAATTAACTGAAAAATGTTGCATAGTATGCCTTTAAAAAAATTGATTTCCTTAATTACAATTTGCGAAATTTAAAGTAGTTAATGGAAACGCAGCTTCAGTAGATTCCTCTGGACTCTTCCTGGCTGGCTGTGCCGCCACCCTGGATCGAAACATCAGCTGGGTTGCTGCCATTAACAACTTTAACTACAGAGGGTGGAGTTGGGCCTGTTTTTACCGTTTAGTCCCGTTTCTCTCATGGACTTCTGTTTATGGATCCGTACTTCTATATTAATCTCTTCTGTCTCCTTGAAACCCCAGTGTGCGTCTATTAAGTGCATTGAGATGACGTGTTGTGAATTGGAGCCATATAAATAAACTGAATTTTATTATAAACAACTGTGTTGCCAAAAAAAAAAATCATACAGTGAGGTGAGCGGCAAAAGTGGGTTTAAAAAAAAATTAAATGTGTGATGTGAAGATTTCACTTCAGTGCGATTTGGGCCGCCCATCCTGCAGACAGACCGAACAAATCAGCAGCACTGAATTTGCAACAATTCTGTCCAATGTGCTGCACTCGTCCTCAACTATATTCAACGAAAGGAAAGTCAATCTTGGAAGAGTGAAAACAGCACGAAAAATAAAAAAGGTCGATTGCTCTGCTTAGCAAGTATTAGCAGTGAAGTACGGCGAGGGCCAGCTGCTACCTGAGATATGCAAATGGCTGCGGAGAAGCTTTGATGCAAATGAAAAAGCTCCTGCAGTTAAATGAAAAAGGAAAAAAAAAAGTCTATCTGAAGAGGAAGACAATGAGAGTGGTGTTCTGGAACATTGTTATGCTGGGAAGGTGCATAATTCAAGGTTAAAGCCGGATTCAGATTTCAGAGTTCAGTCAGGGACTGCAGATGAATTGTGAAGCTCAATTACAAAAAAAACCCCACAAATTTAAAACTGAATCTGGGGAAGAGATGAAACTTTAAGGAAAAACATCCTGCAATCTGATGCAATCTCTTGTTCAGGCATAGAGCCTCCAACTGAAAAGGGAAGGAAACACACTGACCTAACTGAGAAGCATGCAGGCCGTAGCTGGACCTCCTCCTCCTGTCGGGTCTGTGCTCCCATCCATCGCTGCTCAGCTCTCCGTTGCTGGAACCAGAACTAGCGGTCCAGTCTGCTGGAACGGCTCCGTCCTGCTGCATCGGGGTCCCGGGACTCGTCGGGCTGTGGTGCGTCTGCGGCGTTCGAGGTCCGGACCTCTCTCTGGGATTTGGAGGAGGCGGCGTCAGGGGCAGCGGCTTCAGCTCTTGGTACTGCAGGGCTAAATCCAACAGGGGTCTAGGGAGCGGCTCAGAGGTGGAGAAGGTAATCAGGTCGTCCACCACAGGGGGGTCTGTTATTAGAGGTCTAGGGTGGGAGATCTCAAGTTCAAAGGAGGCGCGCTCCTCGGAGGATGGGGGGTTAGTTCGAGGCGGCACCCGAGGGGGGACATCCAAGCCTCGGCCGAGTGCCACGGAGGCCAAGAGGGAGCCGCAACCTAGCAACGCCCGGTGTGTGTTCTTGATCATGCTGCCAAGAGAACCCCTCTCAGGCATGGGGGAGCCGGCCGGAGAGTAGCCCCCCTCCTCGCTGCCGGAGTCTCCCTGAGAGGGAGGAAGCCGCAGGCTGTCCTTGGATGAGGAGCCTGCAGAAAGAGAAAGTTTTAAGAAAAAAGAGTTCAACATATTTATTATTCATCCAGCTTCGGTTTCTAATTCACACTTCCAGACTCTTGTGAATGTTAATGGCAGCTAAGAGTGGCAGAGGGAGGGGTACCGTTCTGAGAGGAGGCTGGGGTCGGTGTGGGGGGGCGGTACTCCTCAAAGTCATCCATGGACTCTCCGTTCTCATTGCTGTCTGACCCCAGCAGCTTGGCCCTCATCGACAAACTGGAAGCAGAAATTTTCACTCTTTTTTTGCTGTTTTGTCTGTTATATATATTATTTTTATGTCAAATAAACTTGCTAATCCTTTGCTAATGGTTTAAAGTTCTCTTGTACCTGCTTTCCTGAGGACTCAGCCGCAGAACCTTCGGGCTCTTTGGACTCTTTGGGCTCTGGGGCCTCCAGTGTGGGTTCAACCTCAGGTCTCCATTGGACTGCTTGATAGAGGGGGTCTCTAAAGGTCGGACCGGGGTGAGTCCAAACGTCCTGCTGCTGTCGCTGGGACTGACTGGAGACAGAATGAAGCAGGAGGAAATCAGTGACGGTTTTCTGATGGTTCCACTTAACCTTAAACTGGTTAGTGGATAAAGATTACAAAATAACAGAACCACAGACCGGGTTAAAGCGTGCAATGTTTGAGGAGAGGGAACCAATAGGACTCCGGAAAAACACAGCTGAGAAAATTATTCGTTTTTGGAGTTCAGAGTTTCCCTATAGGTGGCGATAAAGAGCTCTCAATCGACACTAACTTGCTAAAAATGTAATTGAATTTCTGTATTTTTTTTTTCTTTCTTTTGTTTGCAGTAATAATTGAACTAAATTAACTCCATGCTAACAGTGCTAAAGCAATTGATTTTCAATTAGAGAAAGAAAACATCCCCCAAAACATGAGCTGATGCTTCATTCAACTATGAGGGGATAAGGTCCCCAGTTATGCTTCTACACTGAATACAGCGAGCAGCTGCCACAGTTTGATCCAAACTCAGCTGTAATGCGTAACATGATTAGCTCCGCGCCATTAGCAGCCGACAACTCAACCTCAGGTTGTCTGCTGCAGCGTCGGAGCTGATTAATAATAAGCTCGACGTCAGCGTGCTGTTTAATGCCACCTTTACTCAGGTAGTGACCGTGCATGCTTTTAAAAAACAAGCAGACTGCTATGGATTTCAAATATCGGGCAGAAAAAAAATAACAGTAATTGTGGGGAATCTTATTATTTTTAATCTAAAGTTAATTTAGTTTCAGTACCGGTAATGAAACGGTTCAATAGTGCTACTTATATCGCCGCATGCAGCAACACATCATTTAGGAAATGATGTCTGTGTGTTGCAATTTCATAAAGATCAGACTGCTGGTTTCCAAACGTCTCCCATTCTTTTATTTCCTCCTGTTATATTTTAACGTATTTCTCATCATCATCATCATCCAGCTTGGAAATAGTATTATTCAGACCATATTTACTTGATTGGAGGTTTGTTTTCTGTCTTATTTTTGCGCTTTCATTAATAAAAATCAGAATATCTTAGCCGGTTGTTTTGTTTGCAATCACTTACCATAAGCTAGAGGGAGGCGATGGAGCAAAATTGAAATGAAAATAGCAATATAACGACTAAAAGAAATTAAAAAACAGACTTCATCTTGTTCTGCAAACATGCAAATATTAAATGCCAGAGGAAATATCTGCTAGCTTCCAACACAATCACCTGGAAGCAGCAAATACAAATGTCCATTAGGACAACATTAAAGAATAAGGTACTGTTTGAATTTCTTGTTATCTTATTTGTCCAATAATGTAACACTGGTGCTCATTGTGTTTTTCCACATAAATAACCAGAGAGGGCTTCTAATGGCAAACATACGGAAGAGGATTAGGGCCACTGAA